ATGGAAGGAAAAAAATGATATTTCTCGAGACAATGAGTAACACACTTATCGCCACCTTAATTATTTCAATTTGCAACTCTTCGCCCATCGTCATGTACCGTCTAGCGACTATATATAGAACAGCAAACGGCGGGGGAAGGGGCTAGTGGACAGCAAGAAAAGCACAATACGACAGAATCACATGAACGTGTTTATTTATTTTCTTTTTGACTTTTGTTTGAACTAGAAAACAGTCCTCATGAATTCAGCTCCATGGGTAATTTTAAAACAATTAAAAAAAAAGAGTATTTTGGCTTGAATTCTTTTTTCATGAGCGATGTTTCTCTTGGCGTCGCCTTTGTGGTCCTAGACGTCCTTATCGCGACCTCCCCCCCTCCCCCTTCAAGGTAATACTGGGGGATAATTTATCAGCAGGAGCCATAATAGGGGTAGGAGACTGTAAGCGCGGGGTCCACACGGTTCCATCGAAATAGCGACACCCTCAATTTTACAAACTCAAGCGGGAACCCGGGTGTTTCCGCAGATCTTGTGTGGGGAGGAGATGGACGATCGTTTTGCGACTTTCTTTGAGTTATCGAATTTTCCAAGTGCTTCATACCTTGGTAGGCAATGCATGCACAGTGTAAGTATAAGCCAACAGTGGCGGATTCAGGGGAGCGCCGGGGGGCCCCGGCCACCCCTTATTTCAAAACCAAACTGAGACCCGAAGGACCGAGAAAAAAATTATGTTAAGGTCTGAATGACCGTTCCCCCCCTTTATCTCAAGGATGGGCACTGGCCAGTTTTATATTAAAATTACTAGAAATGCGTTTATTGCAAAAAACCTTACGAGGCTGTAATGGGCCTGCAGCAAGAATAATGGGAAATAAGCCAAAAAGAAAACACAGCTTAGCAGAGAGTCGAACCTGGACCATCTGCACGGAAGGTCGGCTCCACTGCACCACGCTGCTAAGGATAATGTTAGCTAGGAAAATTATTATATTTAAAGCATTATTTCCGTGAAATTCTGCGGGTAGACGCTATTTGAATCTGGTGGAGCTGTATTTATCATTGCGCCCTCGCAAAAAATACGCGCGCGTGTCACAAGGGTTGACTTAAGTTGTGCCAAAAATAGCACATTTAGCTATTTCGATGGAACCAACCCCATTACTGGAAAAAGTATCCAGCTGCGACTACCCCGATTATGGCTCCTGTTAACAGTACCTTGGGCTGTGATTCAAAGCACCTTTGTGAACATTTCTCAGCTTTTAACAAATATAATTTCCGTTTCTTCTAGCTTTCGCCATGGAATTTGCCCGGACCTTTGAGAAGTTCCTGCGACTTCAAAAGACATAGGAATGGCAAGTGATTTAACAGTGCCCATCTGCCTTACAGGGGCGGTGGTTCTTGTGATATTCTGTACCATAGCCTTCGTAACCAATGGCTGTCTCCTAATGGTGCTTTACAAAGACCCTTTCAAGTGCTTCAGAAAGCCCATAATGGTTTATGTTGGTGCTCTTGCGCTACTGGACTTTCTCAGCGGAAGTGTAACTGGACCATGGGTCATTAACAACTACGTTGAGTGCGGTATGGGAGAGGATGACTCCCCTGTGCTGGACAAAACAAGATTTGCTGCAATTTCGGCAGAATTCACGATATGTACTGCAAATTTCATAACTCTCGTATTATCTGTTGAAAGACTATTTGCAGTGGCTTGTCCCTTTCTGTACCGACGAAAGTCCAGCGTGAAAAGAAGCGTGATTATTCTAAGCTTTGCGGTGCTTTACCCGTTGTCAGTGAGTCTGGCGAGCTTTTTAGGCTCGCGATGGAGAGACACACCCTTCCACGCCCATATGATTATAACCATGCCTATGGTTACGCTGATTTCCGTCAACATTGCACTTGTAGTCGCACTAAGGCGACAAAATAAACAAGCGAAGATTTTGCTAGGAGGCTCAGAGAGTACACCGAGCGGTTTCAGAGAAGGCGAATTCAAGCGTAAAGAAAGAGAAAATTCACTATGTGTAACCACTCAGCTAGTGGTCTCGTGTTTTGTACTGTCTCTTCTCCCTTACCTATCATTTTTCTACGTGATTCTCTATTTCCCAGAGTTTCGAGGAGAAAAATGGCTTTTCGCAGGCACCCGATTCTTTTTGCCATTCGTATTCTTGAATCCAGCCATGAATTCTCTCATCTTCAACTTCAGACTCAAGCACGTCCGCCGTTCATTCAGACACGTCTTCATGTCTGGCTCACGGATTCGTCTACACGATATCCAACTTACCCCCTTTGCGAGGTCAATGGACTCTCCCTGACCAAGTATAGTGTGAAAGAGAGGACACGTGTCTGGAATTAATCTGGAGTTCGTTTTGATTCGAGCTTACAAATGCTCAAGCTCCACTAATTGAACCATTGTGGCGGAAATAAATTTATTTTTGATGCAATAAATGAAGTGCAAAGTGAGACTCTCTATAGGCTCACATTTTGTGTATCACTATTTCACTATTTCAATTTCCATCGGAAAAATAGACCGTCTCTGAAGAGTTTACCTTAACTGCAGGGACACAAGCAGTTCACTATTGAAGAAGACTAAAAAATCTGGCACACATACAAAAAACCTCTCTAGAGAGAGACAGGGACGCCGGAAACGTGGGTGAGGGCTTAGGGACTTATACCTTCGACGATACCTTCGTTTGTTAGAAGATTAGTGTAGCAGGAAGAAACGCCAAAGGTGACAAGAATAGCATGTGTGGGGAGGACGTCGATTTCCTTAAATATGTCGAGAAGATCGGTCATTTTTTAACGTAGGAAGGTAGAAACTGCACCAAAGGATTAAGGTGGTAGCTAACGCACGCTGATATATTTTTTCGGTAGGATGCCCATTGGCTGATACGATAGGTCGCCCTGGGTTTTCATCGCTGTGAAATTTTAGGGAGAATGCAAAAACGACCAGCTTTTGGATTTTTCAATCACTTTATTGTATAATTTTTTACCTATTTAACATGTTTTTCATCTATCAGTGTTTACACTTTTAATTTGTCATTAACCTCTAAATTTCAATTCAAACTTCAGGTGCCGTTATAGTATTCCCTTCCAGTGTAGCTCTGGCTCTCAGGAAGGCTATAATTTTGTCAGCCGAAATATTGGCCTCAAATGAATCAGCCATTTGCCGTATGGCCAGCCTTGCATTCAGTTTTGTTTTAATTCCTACTTTCAAGTGACGTCCGGCACGTCTCTACGTTAAAGATCCGGCAAGAAAGAACCAGTTCTTTTTTCCAGCGTTGAGTGGACCTCTGCATTCAAAGGTTTTTTTTATCGTTGTCAAGAGAGAATTTAACAGGTGTTATTACAAGATGCTGAATTGACGTTTGCTTTAAGCTCTAGGACTTGATGCTGTTTCAGGCAATCAGTAAGAAAGTGCGGACGTCCCAGGAGGTAGGCATCCGTTTAAAGGGACGCAGTCAGCTATGGGACCGCGCTGACCTGGACCCTACTTAAAGAGTTTACCTCAACCCGAAATCAAAGGAACGCGTCGGCTACATCTAGAAATCCGCTTCAATCTCGCTTAGTGTTTCATTCTGTCCTCGATCTTTTACAGAAATCCACTTTTTTTTAGCAAACTTTAACTCATCCTATTACATTATTTTATCATATTTGGTTAAAAACAGAATCACAAGGAACATGAACAGAAGAGGTGAGAAACGCAGGATTCTGATTGGTTCTCAGCAGCCTTTATTTATTCTAAATTTGTATGATGCAGCAGTTTTTATCAGTTGTCAATATTAGTTACAAATTAGGGTGCGCGTAGCTTACGGTTTATTGGAGAGGGGAGAGTGAGATTCGCCCCTTTCTCGACGTGCTGCCCTTCCCAAAAAAACCGTCATCTACGCAGGCTAAAAACGAATCAGTTGTGATGCATTTGTGTTAATTACACGTTAATGATGTTTGATGTTTGTGATGACTCTAAAGGAGTCGCACTGGCTACCAGTGGAGCAAAGAATAATCTTTAAGATTAATCTTACTTGTTTTAAGATACTCAACAATTTAGCTCCTGATTATTTGATTGACCTAATCCATGTTTATGAACCTGTGAGGTACCTTCGCTCATCTTCAGACAAGTGGCGTCTTGTTATTAAACCCTATAACTTAAAGACATACGGTTTAAGGCCTTTTTCAGTCATTGCCCCTATACTCTCGAACGAATTGCCTATTGACATTAGATCGACTGATCATGTAAATAAATTTAAATCTAAATTGAAGACCTTTCTTTTTAAGCGAGTTTACGAACTATCATAGGTTTTTTATTTTTCATTTTTGTGACTACGTATATATATATGTAAATGATTTTAGGATTTTTATTTTTTATCCAGAACTTTTTGAAGTATTGTAAAGCTCTTAGCACTGAAAAGTATAGGTGCTATATAAATATTTATTATTATTATTATTATTGTTTGATCAGTTCGGTCCCTTCTACACCCAGCCATCCCCTTCTATTTTTCCTACCCCGTTCGACTCCTGTCAAGCATGCTATAAGACACGTTGCATATATCTACTATCTTCTGAGCTTTCTGGTCAAATAATGAGGCTCCTACATCACAGTTCAAATCTACAAAAATACCGGCCTCTATATTCTAGTTTTCAAATTCTAGAAAGTATATATAAAATTTTGCACTGAATGTTGTCAGTAGTATACAAAGGCCGTATATCCGATACTGAAGGAATTCTTCGAAATGACCATTTTATTATAAAATGAGATGAATCTAAAATTAAAGTCAACATAGAAAGATAGAATTAGAAAGATTACGTTAATGAAAAAAACGATGTCCCCGCAATCACTAATTTTTGGTTGGCTTTAACAGCTGCTAGTACTTCTCTGTAAAGTACTGGCGCACCGTTTTTGGCCAGGGACACAGGAATTTAGGCAGCACAATCCTTAAAAGCTTAAGTAGTTGGAGACTTTCGCGGGAGCTTGCCAGAGAAAAGCACAATTAAGTTTCGGATGTATCGGTACATCAAAACCCTCAGTCTGTACCACAGTAACGGAGATGACATGGATGTTCCGGGGGCGTTCCTCTGAAGTGATACAGGAAGAAATCTCCGCAGTTGATTACTTCAATATCGATGGACCACCTGCAGCAGTTTGATTCCCAGTTGAAGCAGACCTTTTTGGTGACTTTGCCTTCTTCTACTGACGGATGAGCACCGTTAAGCCAGCCAGTGGCATGGGTACTACATTTGTTAGGAGCAACGCATGACGTAGGCATTTTTGTCCCTGCGTTACCTTGGAAACGATACCATCCATGTGGGAGTGAATTATCACAAAGAAGTGGAGATGAACCATGGGATACTTTCCTGTTACCGTTGGTCAAATTTTGGTAGTTGAGGCAATCTGAAACTTTTTATAAACACATACTTTAGCTTACTTTGTTTGTCATCTTTTCTACCAAAAATAAGGCAAACAACAGCGTTGAACATGATAAAAGTTGACGCTTGTTGTTAAAAAAAATCTTGGATGAACGATTGGCTGGATTATGTGTAAGTACTCTTTCGAGCAGTCCCTCTTTGGCGCGTCAGTCGAAGGTCACCCGCAAAGGACCATAGTCTAGTTTCGACTTCAGCGACTTCGTCATAATCGCAGAACTCCAAGCCCTGATAACGAATTTCTACAGATTTAGCCTCCCTGAAGTGAATTTATTCACAAGTTCCAGTGGCAAAAAGACCAACTTATATCTCGATCGATTTAGTCCAATTTCAGGTACCTTTCTGTCCGGATATTTGGGACTTAAGAAATGTCGACTTCATACCCTGTCAGTCATGTTAGTGTGTCATTAGGTAGCTAAAGCAAAGTCGTTTGAAAGCGACGCATATCAATCGGAACTTGGAATTTTTGCATTCTTGGGCAGTGGTCTCGCCCAAATTTTCGCCAAAAATTAATCGTCTCAGTCTATAAGAGTAAAGACACTTGGCAGTGAAATTTGTTAGCGGCAAGACCTCAGTAAGTTTAGTTGAATAAGAAAAGGGCCGTCATTCGTTTTATCACTTTAAACAAAGGGAGTTTTCGTCCGAAATGAAAGCGTTTTACCGTCTCACACTGTAAAATGGTCTCTCCAATTATGTGAGCTGTAGTCCTTTATGATACTGGCCATTGGATTTCGACGTTGTGTAGCGCGCGTTGCGCGCGTGTAGGGGGCGCCCACATTAGCCCTTCCCCTTTCCCTTTTAACCCCAGCCACGCAGGCTACACCTTTTTCGTAATAGATTGGGTTAGTTTTGGGACGCCTGCTCTTCTTTTTTCGGATTTGACGAGGCTGCGATGGAAACTGGTCCAAAATCGCTCTCAAAGCAGTCACATAATGCAATTTAACACGACCCACGTGACCCAGACTCACGTTCTCTTTCAATAGGTCTCGAATGGTGTATAACTCTTACTTACCCTTGCAAGTTTTTCCGTCCCCGGAGAATCCAGTCTTGCAAGTGCACAGATAAGAACCGCGAGTGTTTGTACAGTTGGCATTGACGTCACAAGCAGGAGAGGTAGCAGAGCACTCGTCAATGTCTTATAAATAGATATAAATAGAAAGACAAATTTCCTTAAGGTCAAGAAATATAAAAATTGCATAGCCTTAAAATTTCTCGAATGGACCACTCGTCAGCGTCTAATAAATAGTAAGACATAAATTGATAATGTCGGCTCAACAAGTCAGTTTAAGGGGTTAATTATGGCCCTTCCAATTCCATTCCTTATCGTACGATACATTGTAGTTAACGTTTTTATCTTTTAAAAGTATAATTTAAGTTTTTGCTAGAAAGAACCCTGAACATCCCTCAATATATGTTGGTCTGCGGTGAGTTGATCAAGATGGACGCGTCGTCTATTTAATTTCCGCTGACGTAATTATTACTAGGAGACTTGTATTGTTACCCAACGAGAATTTAGCCCCCTGATTGCAGGTAACATAATTGTAAATTATTTTCAAATTGTATAAACTGTTGTTGTTGTAGTAGCTTTTAAAGATAGCCGTGGTCTCAAATATGGACATATTCTAAGGCTATGCCCTTCTAGAGGCGTCACAGCAAGGCAAGGTGAAGAGTATTGCATTTTTTATGGAAAAAAAAACTCCTGGGCGCCCAGCAATTAGTCTGTTAGCGAGACGAGAACAATGTAAGACCTCATTCAACCTACCTAATCGGTTTATTTTTCAAAACGCAACCTTGCACGGTGAGATTTTTTTAAAAACGCTTTGTAATTATAAAATAATAATAAATAAAAAACTTTTGAACACCATCTTACCGTTTTAATGTGGACGGGAAAAAACAAAAGTTTTGTAAACGTTGAGGTATTTGAGGATAAACTTGATCAGAACTACACACATACATAAAACACCCGAAAGGAACCTGAGGACAAACATATAACCAAATCCAGGGGTCAGTCTATACCCTGTGTTCTGGCAATTCAACAGAGGTGACGGCCGGTGATACGAAAAGAATGGCATGAAACAGCAGTTTACGCTGTTGATGGCTTAATGGGGAGTTTAACCAGCGACGTTTTCAGAGCGACGCCATGTCAACCGGAAGAGGGCTTTTTTCATTTTTAACATGCCGTGAAGCAAGTAAATTTGTATTGCTATGTGTCTTTACTCTTATAGGACGATTTGCCCAAAAATTTGTTAAAAAAGTCATGGCTCAAGAGCGGAAAAAGTCCACTTCCGTTTGACGTGCGTCGCTCAAAAACGTCGCCGCTTAAACTCCCTAATATGGAAGGCCGAAAACGTTCAAAACGCAGCCACAATAGTGAGCCATGACGACGCCTAAGCATTTCCGATCGACAAGAAGCAAAGGTTAGTCGACCTATTAAATGTCCACGAGCACGTTTAAGAATAAGTAGCCTGCAGTGTGTTTCTAGATGTAATTCCAGTGCAATTTAAAACTTACCGAAAGTTTCCATGTCACAGTGAGCTAGAACAGGAATGTTCTCTTTTATGGTGTATAACCAGTACTTGCCGCTGACCGCTTGTTCCTCGCTTGCTTTTATTTCCTTGCAGGTTTCAGCCGGCAGTTCAGGAATTGAACCGAGAGGGACTGGAGAGACAAAACAGATGTAAAGAGAAGTGTGACGTCATGTTACCATGGTAGCAAAATTTCTGGATCACAAGGACAAGGAGTTTTTGCAACGGCGACGGCGAATAGCAAAAAAATAGGTTTAGTGCAAAAAAACAACTTTGCACGTGCATCACGCTTTTTTGGTACACTTCTTAACCGCTGTTGTACGAATGCGACATGAAACTTCCTAATTTCACGCGCCCGCTTTATGAAGTAGGTGAGCACAACACACAAAAAATTTTTTTTCTTTTTCTAAACTTTGATACGGTCCTTACGGATTCAACCCAGAAAATTTCGCCAGCATTTGACAAATTAAATGAAATTAAGATCGAAGAAATTTGAAACAGTGCAAATCCACTTTTTAAATGACATTTTGGTTTGTTGTCATCCAGAAATGTTGCTACCATGGCAACGTGACGTAATGACTTCTCCGCTCTATTGAATTCTGTTTTAGATTCGCCTCTTTAGAACAGGGTGGAAACTGGGCCGAGTTACCTTTTACAAAGACTTCTGGGATCCCCGTTTCCAGAGCAGTCCCAGACTTCTTTGCGAAAGATAAAGGCCCAGTTTGTTTCAATCACGCTGAACTCTTTATCGATCTTTAAGTCCTCGTGGCCTAAATGCTGAAATGTATTACTTAAAGTGAATTTACAACAGCCACAACACCTGAGTAGGTCTTTAAATGTTTTCAAATGTTTCAATAAGGTCTCCACTGTTTCTTAGGTAGTATTATCTAAAACACCTTTTTACCTCTGTTTTTGTATCGTCTAAAGTAAAATCTGTCTGGGTCTGACACGAAATCCTCAGATCTGGCTTCCTTTGTTCTGTTATTAAACTCGCACAAGTGACGAGAGATCACCCAATTGAAACTTTGGCATCGGTCGTCTTCTCTACAAGCGAATAAGCAGTCTAGCGGGAAGTTTGCCTCCATCGTTTTGTAAATGTGTCCTTGTAACATCCAACCCAGTATGGATATCTCGTATCCACCGCTTGAGCATTGTGGAGTTACCACTGTGCAGTGCACTTGGCCCAAAACAGATATAACGGACATGCAGAAGATTTGTTTCAGCGCCTTCATGACTTAACAGCCTTCAAAAGAAAAACTTTAATAAGTTAGACTTCGATTAAGCCTTGAAACATATCAATTATCAAGGGGAAAATATTATGAAAGGGTAAATGTACATGCGGTGAACCAAGAAATGCAGACTAGAAGACTCAGCTGGTGATAGTTCTTGCTGCGGGATCTCCTTAGCTATAGAGAGTCGAGTCCATGCTCATTCCGATCCAATAAAAAGGCGAGTATGAGCGAGTACTTCATTTACAGATTGTTGATTAAGGTTCCTACTCAAATTCTGGCCCCAGTATTTCAAATCCCCTTTACTGACCGTACGTTAACGTTTGATATTGCCTCAAATTAGCCGTTTTCGATACATAGTTTTAAAAACCTTTTTTTCAGTCATGTCTAACTCTTTCAAAATTATAGAAGTGAAAAACAAATTAGTTTTTAAAGAATCAAATTGTACCGTTTGCGTCTTTTAGCTGGAGTCTGCAAATTTGATGGGACAACTTGTTTTCCCGGTAGGCTCCTCACACATGCAAAGCCCACTTTTGATGCTAATAACATTGCCGTTTAATCATTTATGGCTACCCACTGGTAAGACGCACAGTTATGTCCAGTGCTTGTTAATATTGATGCTGGCCAAAAAATATTTCAGTAGTTTTCAGCCCAACACAGCGTTAATTGCAACCGTTGTTGCGACTATGTTTCGAATGCTAACAACATTGTCCCGGCATTGCAACGCTGTGTTGAGCTAAAAATCGTCGTTGCGAATCGTCCCGTGTAACAGCTTCTTAAGAAAAAAGAAAGATTGTAAAACAGAGAAAGAAAAAAAAAATGTCTAAGTGAAATACAAAAGTAAAAAAGAATTTAAATAACAAAGTTCATATACGGATTATTCTGGGGGATTTACCACTTGCCTGTTTTTGTCGTCTGCGTAGCTCGTTTTCTTATTAATACTCTGAAGAGAACACTTCCATTTTCAGCTGCATTTGTTTGGACTACTGATGTTTGGTTGTTTTGTTACCAAAAAACAAACTATATGCTAGGATTTTTCAGCTTTAAAATGGAAACTAGCGGCGTCGCTTTCTCTCAGCGCCATACTTAAAAATTCTGCTTTAAAAATTAAGTTGCATATATATTATTATTATCATTTTTTTTTTTCAGGAAAGAAAGTCTTTAGAATTTCATACGTGTCAGACCACCCTTCATTTTCATTCTGTCTTATTTATCATTTGAATTTATCTCCTTCAAGGCGTTATTAATTTTTTTCGACATTTGAAAGCATGAGAAAAATTAATCAACAGGAGGTAATCAGCTTGTTTTGAATATATTAGTCAATATTTTCTGCGGTTTTATTTGCTCACTGTAAGTGGGATAATTTTGGTAGCTATTAAAGGGATCATATGGGAAATATTAAAACAAGGAAAAAAATATCGCCTCGTCCGTCAGCTTATCGTGGGGTATAAAATTAAAATGAAATAAACTTATCGGTTTTTTTTTGTCCCTCACTGTCGTTTTGAAGCGATATGGCTAGCGTTGTGATCCCAGGGGGGAAATACTCCAGAATTCAAGTGACAGGGGTGATCGAATGGGGAAAAATATCAAAACCCAAAAAAATCCCTAAAGCCTCCAGCAAACATTAACCCCCCACAAAAAAATCCCATCCCGAATTTCCTAGCCTGTTCCAAGCGTTCAGATAGTGGAGAGCGGTGTGGAGTAGAGAAAGCGATAAAAAGTAGAGGGGGACTGGGGAGAGAGGTTAAGTGGGATAATTTTGGTAGCTATTAAAGGGATCATATGGGAAATATTAAAACAAGGAAAAAAATATCGCCTCGTCCGTCAGCTTATCGTGGGGTATAAAATTAAAATGAAATAAACTTATCGGTTTTTTTTTGTCCCTCACTGTCGTTTTGAAGCGATATGGCTAGCGTTGTGATCCCAGGGGGGAAATACTCCAGAATTCAAGTGACAGGGGTGATCGAATGGGGAAAAATATCAAAACCCAAAAAAATCCCTAAAGCCTCCAGCAAACATTAACCCCCCACAAAAAAATCCCATCCCGAATTTCCTAGCCTGTTCCAAGCGTTCAGATAGTGGAGAGCGGTGTGGAGTAGAGAAAGCGATAAAAAGTAGAGGGGGACTGGGGAGAGAGGTTAAGTGGGATAATTTTGGTAGCTATTAAAGGGATCATATGGGAAATATTAAAACAAGGAAAAAAATATCGCCTCGTCCGTCAGCTTATCGTGGGGTATAAAATTAAAATGAAATAAACTTATCGGTTTTTTTTGTTCCTCACTGTCTTTTTGAAGCGATATGGCTAGCGTTGTGATCCCAGGGGGGATTACTCCGAAATTCAAGTGACAGGGGTGATCAAATGGGGAAAAATATCAAAACCCAAAAAAATTCCTAAAGCCTCCAACAAACATTAACCCCACCCAAAAAAATCCCATTCCGAATTTCCGAGCCTTAAAAATTTGCAGAATGTATTGAATATTAAAAGAGCCGCAAAACACTGAACAGCTGAAACAAGTTTGGTTTTATACTTTATTCTCAGAGCTACGCGGCTGGCATACGCTGACCTACCACGAATCCTCAGATTGATTTGAATCTGCCCAAACAAAATCCCTACTTGAATCAAGCCAACCAAAAAATACTGCCAAATTTTCCCACCAAAAAAATCCCGGAATCGAACCCAAAAAGCCCTCCCTGATCATCTCGTCTTTTTAACCCCGGAGTACTCTACCCCCTCTCCCTACTCCTGGGCCTTTGACCAGCCCAGATCGCTTTAAACGAGACAGGAATCACACAAAGTACGGCACAGTCTCTGGTTTGCTCTGAAGAAGGTCTAGCCGGCTCGAAACGTCATCTTCTCGATCCTCCTACAAGGGCAAGTCGTCGTAATGTGAAAATAGGTTTTTTCCTACTTTGGACTGAATTTTTGTTTTGGCCTGAGAAATCACTGTAAACTAAACTCTGGAAAACCATGGAATTCGGGGAAGTCACTAGGCTCGATGGCCGCCGTCTCCCGGGCCTGGTCTTTGAGCTTAGCGACTCACTGGCTGTAGGGAGGTTCGGGATCTATTACTAACAGCAAACAATGGAGACTGAGACTTAGAGTGACGTTTACGGCAAACGGCAAATGAATTTGTACCACGTGACAATGTTTTTCTTTAACTTGCACTTTACAGTTAATTACTTTCACCCGAAATTAGTAACAATTGTATTGTACTGTTTTTAGCTACACATTTTCTATTTTGAATCTGACGTTTGCAGTTTGCCATAAACGTCACTATAAAGTATACATCTCCTATTAGTAAAATCCAACTAGTGGTCTATTATCAATGCTGCGTTCTGTGGTTGAGCTCCTTCTAGGCTATATGTCATAGCCCACGAGTAGCGAAAAGCGTCGGCTTTGAAAACCAAAACAATGGCGGCTGAATCGCGTTTTGCTAGCTAAAGTTGTTTTGTCTCGATATTTTTGACCAAGTAGCTGGATTTTACTAAAACAATTATTCCTGTCGCCCTTATGGCCTTTGAGTCAATAGATTCGGGCTCGAGGAATAATTGTTAAATATCTAAGAGGCATCAGAGCAGCAATAACTTGGTTCCAACGTAATCTTTACTATTCAGAACGTAACCAACGCGTCAGTCAGGGGTTCAGCCCTTGGACTGTATTTCATGTACATCTTACAAAGCACTTGTATTTAATGCTAAAGCTAGTAATACCCCCATACTAAGATTAGTAACATCATATCCTAAGAAATTAGACTACAGAATATCACAATTATTTTTTCATTCTCTATATATACTGGATGAAACTGAACTTCATGCTTAAACATTAATCGCTTTCAAAAGTAAACACGTGGATGTCTGAGCTTTTAAAAGACTGAATCACAACCACAACGCATAGTAAAGTAGTGAGCTTTCAGAATAGTTACCGCCTCAATATTTAACAACATGTAGTGTTAACGGCTGTTGTCGACGGTAGTTGACGGGAGTTTGACATCAGACTGGTTTATGATCAAGTCTGGGGTAAAACAGGGGTGCGGGATGTCAGGTTTCCTATTCTTACTTTGCTTGGATTGGGTCATGATTGAGGAAGGCAACAGCAAACAAGAGAAGATTGATAAAGTGGAATTTCACAACAGTACTGGAGGACCTTGATTTCGCGGATGACATTGCACTAATGTCATCTAAGTTCAATGACTTGTACGTAAAGACTAAGAGATTGGGGAGGAATTAAGCAGCCAGAGCAGGACTCCAACTTAATGGGAGAAAGTGCAAGACACTATAGGACTGAGTGTTCTAGCAGCAGGGAGAACATTGTGGTGGATGCATTTCTCTCAGCTTTGACGCAACACTACAGTTTCTTTAGAAACTCACAAAAAAACTAAATAACTTAACAAGCCAACAAGCCAGCTATTAGGAATTAGGATTGAAACTCTGTGAGTAAAACTTTAGGCAAACATACCGTTTTACTTCTCAGATTCACTAAATTCTATAGTAAGTAGTTCCCTCTAGTATGAAAAGCCACTGGGTTGTCTATTCTGAACTTAAGATTGGCGTTTGAACACATTTTTTTGTCCCGAAGAATGAGAATTCGAAAACCTTGATTCCCTCAGTCGGTACCACAGTAACGAAGATGACATGGATGTTCCCGGGGCGTTCCTCTGAAGTGATACAGGAAGAAATCTCCGCAGTTGAGCACTTCAATATTGATCGACCACCTGCAGCAGTTTGAGCCCCAGCTGAAGCAGACCTTTTTGGTGACTTTGCCTTCTTCTACTGACGGATGAGCACCGTTAAGCCAGCCAGTGGCATGGGTACTACATTTGTTAGGAGCAACGCATGACGTAGGCATTTTTGTCCCTGCGTTACCTTGGAAACGATACCATCCATGTGGGAGTGACTTATCACAAAGAGCTGGAGATGAACCGTGGGACACTTTCCTGTTACCGTTGGTCAAACTTTTGTAGTGGAGGCATTCTGAAACACAGATATTAATGATCAAATGCTTTAGATTAGTTGGATTGTTATCTTTTCTTAAAAACAAGTGAAACAACAGTAAACATGATAAAACAAGCTTAAGCTAAACAACTATAAAATTCCCTTACCCTATCACGCTATGGCTCATCGTTTTCTTAGTTTTATCATTTATTTGTTCATATATATTTTTAAAACACCATAAAGTATTTTACAAACAATCTTCGTCATCTTCGTCGTTGCACAAACATGTTCAACAGGTTCATTTGTCAATGTTTTTATCAAAATGTTGTGATATTTAAAGTAATATTAAACAATTTTTAATTAATTGGTCTTATAATTAAAATGTTATCAGAGTGGTCTTTTTAGTCGAAAACCATTTTGTTCCGACCTCTTTAGAAAAATTAGGTGGTGTTTCGATATATCTGCGGATAAAAATTACCTTTGAAAGGGCTACTGTTTTTACAACATTTATTCTTTCACAAACTGAGAGGTCCCTTTGAGACCCAAAGTTTAAAGCTTTTCGTAACTTCGCGAGCTTCTCGGATCTGATCTTCGCACGAAAAATACATGCGTAAAGTGTAGACGGGCTGTTTTATTATTTGAAATTCCAAATCGGCGTCGAAATATTTTAAACGGGTTGTCAAAGAGTCCAGCGATTCCCTTTTCCCAGGTGAGCGCCGACTCCTTTCGCTTCAATATTCAGAAATACTCTCGATCTCTTTACGCCTTTCGCCCGACATGTTTTGCACGGCGTTTAGTCATGCGAAACCTCCACGAAGCATCCACGCAGCGCTCGAGGTAACTTTATCACGATTCTAAAAATAACTCGAGACGAATTATCCATGGAATAAGGTGTGTAGGGGGGGTGCCTTCTCTGTCCCCTTTATCCTCTCTTGCCATTACATATTCCTGTCGAAGGCATTTTTTTGCACGGACAAGAGCCATTTTTGACAGTCGCTTACAAATGATAATTAAAGAACGCAGAGGAACGTTGAGAGAACAATCCTTATCTAGGGAGAATATACTAGAAGGACTTTCCGATAAAACTACAAAGTAAGAACGGACTAACAAGGATTTTACAGTACAAGCGGAGCAAAAATGGGGGAATTTAGTGGGGGAGGACAGGGCGTTGCTACTTTTTACTGTGCTGCCCATGGGGTAAGCCCAATTACAATGTCGGTTTTCGGTCGTCTGTGCAGAAAAACGATCACCCGGAGGGGGGGAGACACGAGGTCTAGTACCGAGAAACGATGCTCTCAGCACTGGTCTTGTGCATGAATTTTGTTTTGGTTTTTGCTCAACTTCCTCCCCCCACTCCCCTCATCCCCTTCAACAATTTAATGGTCCTTCCGTAAGCATGCAGTATGTCAGCCATAAACATTCATTTTGAGTCGTTCCTAATGTTGGTTTTGAAACGTGATTTCTTTTCGTTATCCCTTATTGGTGCACGACCGTGCTTACGGTAGTTATTATAAATCGATTATCGCCTACATAAATGATGATTTTTATTGATAAGCCCACGGCTACCTTCCCAGCCCTATTTTGTTATGTCCGCATGGGAAATACGTAATAATTTCTAGATCGTTTTCAAGCATGTTTTGTTTATTACAAATTTAGCGTTTTCATCTTAGTTAGTTCAGTTCTAGTGTAGACTTCATGTTGTTAACTTCTGTCAGCCATTGGGGCTTCATTTCTATCTACACTCGTGCTCATCACCTATCAAGTTCAGCTTAGCTTTTTGATTCAAGACAACACTGGTGTGTGTGTAAACCAAAGTGAGTATAATAATAATAATAATAATAATAATAATAATAATAATAATAATAATAATAATA